CTCTTCCTCTTCCTCTCCTAACTCCTCCCACATTAGCTCCTCCTATAACTATCACAATCTCTCTCTCTCTCTCTCTCTCTCTCTCTCTCTCTCTCTCTCTCTCTCAAACGCGCGCACACACACACAGGAAAATGGCAGTTTATAAAGAGGAAGCCCTGTGTTAGATGAGGTGTTTTGGACTTCAATACTTTGATATCTAGACCTTAGTAGTCAGTTTCAGGAGGAGGGAGTGGCCAAATAAGGGAATAGACCTTGGTGGCTAGCTTTGGGAATGTAGTCTAATGGGTTTTAGCAATGCAGAGGGAATGGGGGAGAAGGACAAGGCCTGCCAGGACCACGCTCACCATGCCCAAGCTGGCCAGAGTCCCTTCAGTGGGAAGGAAACCGAGAGAGGAAGAGAGACAGAGATAGAGACACAGAGACAGACACAGAGAGACAGACACAGAGAGACAGAGAGAGGCAGAGAGAGAGAGAGGACAAGAAAAGACAATGGGGTAAATATGAACAACTCTTATTCATATGAAAATATAATAGTGAAGACCCTCATTTTGTCAAATGAACATATACTAATTTAAACATGTAAAGGAACGCAAAATAATATTTATGTTCACAGATTAGCAATTTAAAAATGTTTTTTGAGGTTTTATTTACTTGTATTTTATATGAATGGGTATGTTGCTTTTATTTATGTCTGTGCATTACTTGCCTGCTTGATACTCTGGAGTCCAGAAGAGGGCATCAGAATCCCTGAGATTGGAATGACATGATTGTGAACCATCAGGTGAGCTGGGAATTAAACCTGGGTTCTCTGGAAGAGCAGCCAGCACTCTGAACTGAGTCATATCTCTAGCCCCAGATTAACAAAAAATTTATTAACAAATGAATTTCTATTCATTGTTAGCAAGGACTGGGGCGGGGGAGGAAAGAAGTCATTCCAAGTACTAGTTATAGAAGTTCACAATATTTTAATGCATATGTTCAGGCTATCTGTATTCCAGATAAATCTGTAATGATGATCCTATGTTGAAGCCTTAAGGTAAAAATGGAAATAATGTCATACAGCAAGGAATAGTTAAATTATTATACATTTTCTTATAGACTCATATAGTTACAAATATTGACACTGATGAAAACTTAAGTAAACAACTAAAGTAGACACAGAACACACACACACACCTCTCCTAAATAAACATAAAATATTCAATGGGCTAAAAATGAGATTTTGGGGGTAGGTAAGATTTAATATAGATTTTCTTTTCAAGTTTAGAAACTAGACTTAAACATTTCAATTATACCAAATAATGAGAAAATTGTGAAGTAGTCAAAGGCTAAGAAGGTTTTACACATTGTATAGATTTTTTTCTCATTAACTTCTTGTCCTTTACTGACTACAATTTTGACAGCTTCCCAAAGCTCTGCTATGAGTCTCTTATGTTTAGGATCCCATTGTTTCCTTTCTTTGATGCTTCTAAACTTTAATTAATGTAGCCTGTCTGTATTGTTGCCTAGAACTTCTAGTTTAGAGTGAAATTGGGAGAGACTATCACATGTTCTCTCATTCCTCAGTTTTTAAAATAACTGACTTAAATTGATGTAATACTCAAACACAAACATTCTAGAGTGCCAAATGGCAGCTTTTAACCAACTATTTCCTCTTTCTTTGAATTTCTTTTTTTGTTTTTTTGTTTTTGTTTTTTTGTTTTTGTTTGTTTGTTTGTTTGTTTGTTTTCGAGACAGGGTTTCTCTGTATAGTCCTAGCTGTCTTGGAACTCACTCTGTAGACCAGGCTGGCCTCGAACTCTCGAACTCAGAAATCCGCCTGCCTCTGCCTCCCAAGTGTTGGGATTAAAGGCATGCCCACTACCGCCCGGCTCTTTCTTTGAATTTCTGTTTCTCATTTTGTAACTGCCGTTTCTTTTGTAACGGCCGTCAGGTTCTGCTACTTTGTAAAGGCCGGCCGGTTCTGCTGCTCCGGTCGGCAGGTCAGGGTCTAGCAAGAGAGAAAGTGGGGACGGAGGAAGGGGAAAAAAGGGGCGAGAGACGCAAAAGATAGATACAAGCCAGAGTCCGGTGGAGTCTCTTCAAGTCTTCTTTATTCTCCTCTCTTCTTTATATATTCTCCTCACTCCTTCAGTCTCCAGACACCCTTTACCTTTCTCTCCTTCCTCTACTTCCTACTTCCTACTACCTCCTACTACTTACTACCTCCTACTTTCTACCTCTACCTCCTCGACTCCTCTACTCCTCTACTCCTCTACTCCCCTATAGAAGGGAAATCCTGGGTATTTATACCCTTTACCACGTGACTTGCCCTCGTGGACAATCTCAACTGAAGCCACTACGTCACGTGCCTTGTAGCCATGGATACCAGGAGCACCTGGCAGCTGGGGGCACTAAACAGTGTAACAAGATGTTTATCAGAGTGCGCTCAGCTATTGCAGGCTGTTGAAACAAGTCTCTTGTCAGGGTATATGGCTCAAGATGGCTGTAAAGATGATAGCCACTTTTGGCTAAGAGTCGGCTCCCAACATCATTTTAGTGTATTTTTTTCTTCCCTGAAAAGTACAACTCTTTATGTTAGTTGGGCAGGCCTGTATTTTGGATCAGATTTCTGCATCAGTTATAATAACAGCTGAGGTAGGTCTCACTCTAAGGCAGTTCTTTCAACAGTGTGTAGAAGTTAGATCTGGTTCTTCCTCCTAGCTCCATGTGCCCAGAAATAAGACTCAAGACTCAAAATACATTTATACCTACCTTGGCCACATAGGTAGGCTCTTCTCTGACTAGATCGTAATTGAAAATAACCCAGTTATTTTAACCTATATTCTGCCACGTGGCTGGTGAGCTGTGCTCAGGTACCATGAGTCGCTCTGGTCACACCTTCCCAGGCGAATCTCCACTGCTTGGCTCTATCCCAGAATTCTTTCTGTCTCTGGGATGTTCCACGTTCTATCTTACTCTTTCTTACAGGCCACAGGTTTTTTTTTTAAATGTATTTATTTAATTGACAGGTGATACATCCATACAATACATAAAAGATTCTCTCTACAACAGTATCTCAGATTTATCCTCTAGATTTAATGAAACATAGAGGAGCTGAAGACAATGTGGCCATCCCCTATGTGTGTCTTCCCAGCTGAGCCAATATGGTTCCTTTTAACTAGAGTTGAGACTTGTCTTGGGGCTTCTCTTTGAGGCTACTGCTTGTGCTTAGGAGATTCTTCTGACCCTCCCTTTGTTGTGCTGGAGTACCCAGATATGAGAATATCTCATATCTTTAGTGTCTTTATGATCAGGCACTGATAGACTTTCTAAATTAAAAGAGGTAAGTTAGCTATAAGCAAGTAGAATTAGTTGTTGGTGTGGTAGGAGGAAAGGGCTGAATTGTTAGCAAATAAACCAATGCTCTGAAAGGAAACAAAGTAAACAAGCCCTCCATCTGCATGCATTGAGAACAAAATAACAGGGCATCCAACAAGTTCAGAATAAACCAGTGGATCATTGACAAAACACAAGGAAGGTCCAAGCTCAGAAAGAATTCAACATCCACCCGAACAGGCAGCACAGCTAGGCACAGAAAGCTTCGTGCTGGTATCTGGTGCCCATGCAGACGGAAGTGAAAATGGACAAAGTGGATCACAGCTGGGTCCATAAACATGCCAATTTAGTTCCTTTGTATTTTAAAAGAAACTAGGAAACAAAAATCAGTAGAGGCCAAGGAAGGAGGCAGAGGAATGGATGTGGATAACATATTACATTCATGGATGAAATTCTCAAACAATAAATTTTTAAAAATGATAAAGAAAAATGGGAAGAGTCTGATTTCCTTTCCACTTAGCCAGCGGCCGTACTACAACTTATAGAAAGCTATGATACAAAAGCCAGAACATATGCAAACTCAACTGTAAGATACACTAACTGGTTCCTTCCCAGAGGAAATAGACAATGGCCCCAGGTTACCTCTGTTCTGTTAGAGAATATTTATTTATTTTTATTTATCATTAATGTTTCAGTGAAGAAAATAAGGCTTTTAAAGATTTCCCTGTTTGTTTTAAAGGTAAGATGAGGCTGTAGAAGTGGTTTCCTGTTCTTCCAGGGGCCCAGGTTCCCTTGCACAGTTCTTTGTCTATGAATCCATTTCTTTGATAGGTGCAGAATGGAAGTCTTTTGTTATCTCTTCTTTAAAAGTTAGTTTCACTGCTAAATTGATTTCCAAAGTGATTGTACAAGTTTGTACTCCCAGCAGCAATGAAGTGTTCCCCTTGCTCCATATCCTCGCTAGTATGTGCTGTCACTTGAGTTTTTGATCTTAGCCATCAAAGGAGTTTTATTATTGGACAGAAAACCATAATAAACTATGTTACTTTGTTCCTTTAAAAAGTTAAGTTTCAGATGACTCGTGCAGGTCTGTTTAACCTTAATCTTACAAGTGAAACAAATGTTATTATGTTTAATTAATCTCTTCTTCTATGGTTTTAGCATAAGGTCACTGTTAGAACTTTTGAGATTTCCTAAAAAGGGGAAAGAAGACGATGGTCAAGTTTTCGAGTAGATACGTAGATTTGCAGTCTGTGAGGTGACTCCGGGACACAAAGAGAAACCCATACACAAATTTCTGAGAAGTGTTTGTATGCGTGACGGCGTAGAGATACATATTTCTGGGCTAGCTGACAGGATTTGGGTGTAGGCAATAAATATCTTAAGAGTTACTTCTATACTTCACTTAACTGCCCTTATCTTGCGCAATGGTGTCATCGGGATAGTAGAACCCCACCCAACTAAACTCTGCGCCTGCGCCGCGCGCGTGCGTACTACCCCTGCTGCCGCCGCGCCCTTCTCTGGGCGTCTGATTCCCTTCCTTGCAGCCCCGCCCAGGCGGCTGCCCGTGACCTGCCTGGGCGCAGGGAACGGAAAGTCGGAAGGGCTAAGAGGAGTTCAGTTCATCATGGGGCTGTTTGGAAAAACCCAGGAGAAGCCTCCCAAAGAGCTGGTAAGGACCAGCAACCGGGGAAGCTACGAGCTGGGCAGCGGAGGTGGGAACAGCCAGCTGCGCTCTCAGACTGGCCCCCATTTCCGGGGCCTTCCACTCGGCCGAGGGGCCGAGGGAAGAGTTTAGGATTGGGCAGTTAGGATTAGGAAGAGCGCGCCTTTGCTGCTCGGCGTCCGACCTGGGTGCGTGGGGCCCGGTTAGGAGCACCTCGGCCTCGCCCCCGGGTGCTCGAGGCGCCACACAGCCGGGCTCTGAGGAAGCACTCTCCCCTGCGCGCAGTGGTACGGGCCGCCCGGATCCTTTCTCTTGCGCAGGCCCCGCCCCGACGCCTGTCTGCAGACCACCCGGAGGACCTACCCCAGACCGGAAGGTCGTGCGCGTTGAACCGGGTCGGATCCTCGAAAGGTCCAGGCACATGCTGGGCAGGTCCATTTCTCCCCCACCTCTATGTGCAGGGAAGCCCGACTTTCTGTTTACTCCAGAAGCTCAGTAGTTCTGTCAGGACCCTACCCATAAGACTGCTACCGAAAATAGTTCTGCTCCTGTTCTGAATTCTTAGATCTGCGTGTAAATTGAGTTATTTTAGGAACCAATAATCTGCCGCCTAAGTTTGAATTCTACTTTTAGACGTCTCGGCTCTCCGATCTCAACAACTTTCCGAGACTTCGTGCTACTGCAGAAATTGACCATTTAAAAATGTGAAGCTTGAGTTAGTAGTGGTAGTGAAGGTGCGTTCTTTACACACCCAGCCTTATTACTGATCACCAGCAGTCGCACCAACAGGACCAGCACCCAGCATATTGGATTTGTGGGGTCCCATTCCAGACCTACTGAATCAGATTTTAAATAAGACTCTTCCCCAGTGGTTAGTATGTGCCCTGACATTTGAGAAGCACTTTCTACAGCACTAAAACTTGTCCTTTAAGTCCTTTTAGTTCAGTTACAGAAGTGTAGCTGTCAAGTCAGTCTCATTCATTAACTCTGCCATTTTCTGGTGTGTGTTCTATTGTTTTAGGTGGGTACTCTACTAAAGGAGAAACTGACATCGCATTCTTTTTTTCGAGACAGAGTTTCTCTGTATAGCCCTGGCTGTCCTGGAACTCACTCTGTAGACCAGGCTGGCCTCGAACTCAGAAATCCGCCAGCCTCTGCCTCCCAAGTGCTGGGATTAAAGGCGGGCTCCACCACTGCCTGGCTTGACATCGCATTCTTTTTTTTTTTTTTTTTTTTAAAGATTTATTTATTTATTATATATGAATACACTGTAGCTGTCTTCAGACACACCAGAAGAGGGCATCAGATCTCATTACAGATGGTTGTGAGCCACCATGTGGTTGCTGGGATTTGAACTCAGGACCTCTGGAAGTGCAGTCAGTGCTCTTAACCACTGAGCCATCTCTCCAGCCCCCTTGACATCGCATTCTTAACAATCACACTTATCATTTAAAAAACTGGAAATGTTAAACAAGTAATGTACATACCGGGAATAAATTTAAATAGTGGTAAGACTGTTTTCTTTAGACTGTCTTAATTTATGGATGACAAAGCTAAATCCACAAACTAGTAATGATTTCCTTATCTTCAAGAAGAAGAGTATACAATTACCACAAAATGATCTACATAATGTTCTAAAGTGAAATTGTATGCTTGTCTCATTTAAGTTCCACACGTTCATTTTATACCAGAGAGCAAAATGTAGCAGGTGAATGAATGTTCTTAATAGGAAAAGGTTTTAAGAGATGCAATGTGGAGTGCAGTTCAGTTACTTGGGTAGTCTGGGAAGGAATATTCCTGAAAGCAAGAGTTCAAGGCCAGACTGGACAGTGGCTTGGAAAGCAAAGATTTTAGGGAGAAGTCTGGGTGTTGTAGAGTTTCTGAGATGTTACCATGCATTCATTTTAAAAGCTTAATCTCCCCATTTTAATAAAAAAGTAACATTGAAAAAGTAAAGACTTTAGAGTTGACAGTTCATCATCCCGCAAGGTCTGTGTCTTGCCCTTAGCTTTTTCCTCTGTGTCATTTTATGTGGAAGTTGGATGAGATCAAAGTTAAACAAATTTAGCAAGAATGTCTTACAAGAAATCTGTGAACTTCTCATTGTATACATGTTAAGAATTAGTTCTGTGTGGAAACGAACAAGATCACCACTCCAGCTGAAGTTTGCCATGTCTGGGCAAAGCAAACTTCTGTATCGATCAGGAAGGTGTGCTCAGAAGAGTCAACTCACAGAGACAGCAAGTGCACATGGTTTTTATTCTGACTCAGGTGGTAACTATGTCTTTTCCACCTTGGCTGTGTGGTCTGACCTCACAGTCTAATTCACTCAGCTTGTCTGAAAAGCATTGCCACACCGGAAATAAAGAAAGAGAGGGGAGAAGGTCACTGCTCCACCTACTTCCTAGAATGCAGTAGGGGGCCTTTGTGTAAACAGAGGTGTTGGGATGGGAGTTTGAAACATTTTTATAAAAGTCCTACAAGGTAGGGAAGATAAAAGATTTGAATTCCTTCTAATCACAAATTTAATATTTAATATTATTACTAATGACTAATAAATTACAGTAAAATTATAATGAATAAATTCAGACTTATTTAATATTTCTAGCATTTTTCATCCGAAGGCATATGATAAGTAGTTTCATTTTGTTTGTTTCTAGACAGGTTCTTGCTGTGTGTACTGTATGGTTTCTGTCAACTTCACACAAACCTAGATGCATCTGGGTGGTGGGAATCGAAATTTGGGAATTACCTTAGGCAAATCTGTGGGGTATTGTAATGATGGATGTGGGAGGGTCTAGCTCTCTGGGCTATGCCATCCCCGGACAGGTGGTCCTGGGTTGTCCTCCATGTCTCTGTTGCAGTTTCTGCCTCCAGGTTTCTTGACTTCTTCTCCTGATGCATTACAACTGTAAGCTCAAATGTACTCTTTTCCTCCCCAAGTTGCTTTTGGTCATGATGTTTATCACAGCAATAGAAACCAAACTATGACATCATGTATTGCAGGCTGGCTTGGAATTGTTGATCCTTCTAAGAGCTGATATTACAGGTGTGTACCACTGTATTTGGCTGCTTGTCTCATTAATAATGTTGCTAGTTAGCTTTGATCACCTGCTTTCAGGTCATGTCAGCCAGGTATCTATGATGTAGTTTTTCTTTTGCTATTATCCAATAAAATAGCACAGGGTGCCATGGACTTGCATTGAGCATCTAAATTGGACCCATTAGCATCTACCAAACCAATAGTATTCAATCACAGTTTGATTAATTGTAAGGAATACTGCAGCCAGTTAACTAGCAAAGTAGTAACCAGTTGACTTGTTAAGAAGCTGTAGTACCTGCATTGCTTTCTGGCTCTCCTCCGTTTTCTGTAAATGCCATCTGATCATATTGGTTAGATTTCTCAGAATTTGCTCTTGTTCTGGGAGTTGCCTGGTTTGTGACTAGGTTTTGTTTTGCTTTACTTTAATAAACTCAGTTTGATTGGTCTAAGGAATTTTTCTCTTAGCGATAGAGAGTAACATGAGGGGTACTACCTTGGTGCTACAAGGATTGGCTCTGCAGTTTCTCCCTTCAGCAAATCATACCAGCGTGCGCCACCATAACTGGTGGCACTGCAGTTTCTTATTAACCCTTTTTCTTGAAATTCCTTAGCATCTATTTGTACCTCTTTTCTCAATTGAACTGTCTTTTAATAGTTTTCTGATTTCATCACTTCTTTCTTAGTTGTTAGCTGACAGTCTTCAATTAAGATCTTCTTGTTAGGCTTGCTTGGTTACCTGGGCATACACTTTGTGCTGAAAAGGCAAGAGAAGTAAGTACCTAATTGCTTTTTCTTTAATCACTAATGTTGAGAATAACGAATTGATATAATGGTTTCCAGAGATATGAAATGCTTTTTCTCTCTAGTGCCATGTTAGTCTAGTAGATTTTAATATGTTTTACATGTCATAGTCATTCTTCATTATTTTGTGTAATGTTGAAATACAAGTTTAGTCAGTGGTGCTAGAGAATTTCTGTCACTTTTAAACATAATCTTAATGATCCCTGAGTGCTTCCTTTCTTTCTAATGCAATATATATTTGTGGTGTGATTTGTATGTTCCCAGCTTGGAACCCAAAATCCACTATTTCTCTTATAATGGCAGTGCTGTTTAGAACCCTGAATTTGGGTGCATATATGTTTCTTGCTGCTGGAATGTGTTCAATTCTAGGTCTTTTTTGAAACATGAGTAGGGTGTATATTAAATTAAAAAAACTGTGATGGCAATTTTAAATTGTATCAAACCAACCCTTTGCCAAAAACAGCAGAAGTAACCAAAAAGTACAACTAGCTGAAAGCACTGAAAGCAGTGGATGTCATCATAGTCCGGGTCCTAAGAGAGCTGGGACGCTCAGTTCTAGACGCTCGCCAAGGCTTAAGGGCATTGGTCAGGAAACTGAGAATCTGAGCAGACCTATTGACAGACCCTGCGGCTAAAAGATTGAATTTTGTGATGAACCAAGGGCAAAGGATTCTGGCATATAACTCTGAAAAACAAACCTCAGGAGTGACTGGCATTCATAAATGCTGAAGCGGGTTGCAGACAGTCACTGTCTTCAGCAGATAACTGAGAACCAATTGCCAGCCCACTCAAGTTAGATGTTTGGTAGAAGAAATATAAGGTTTCTCTGGAAGAAGATGAGATCACGTTCAGAGGCTTAAATTATCCTGAAAATTCTTACATATAATGTTCAGAATTGATTTTTTAAAAGGAGACATTTATGCATAAGAGACCTTCGTATATCCTGGATGCAAATTCTTTATAAATTTTACTGGGGACTTGTTCAGCATACAGCTCTAAATGGGATGTCTCAATTAAATAAATCCCTCACCTCACGATTGGGGAACCCTGTGAAAGAGGCAGGAGGGATGTAGGGTACCAGGAGAGCAAGGCCCTCTAAATTGACTGAGCCACGCTTATGTGAACTCACAGAGACTGGAGTAGCAAGCACAGGGCCTGAATGGGCCCGCCCCAGGTCCTCTGTGTATGTATGTATCTATCTGTTACAGGTTTCTAGTTAGTATTTTTATGGGACTCCTGAGGGTGTGAACAAGTGAACTGAATCCTGTGCCTTCTCTTGGGGCTCTTTTCCTTCTGTTGGCTTGCCTTGTCTAATTTCAATATGATGGTTTTGTTTTATTTTACTATATATTATTTTTTTATATTTTGCTATCTCTTGGATAGCCTGTTCTTTTCTAATGAGAGACAGAAGAGTGAATCTGGATGGGAGAGGAGGTGGGGAGGAACTGGGAGGAGTAGAGGGAGGGGAAATTGTAGTTGGGATATAGTGTATGAGAAAAAAATGGTATTTTTAGTAAAGTAAATAAAATTATATTGAAACTATATATTTGTTCTTTATTATATAATAAAGTATTTATTATACACAAGACATAGTAATTTGTTTGGTTCCCAGTTCTCTCACATGATACCTACAACTATCCCTAACTCTGGATCCAGGGGATCTGATTTTCTCTTCTGAATTCTTTGTGCACCAAGCATACATGCAGTACAGGACATATAGGCAAAACACTCAAACACATAAACACATCTAAATTTTTTTCAAAAATTAAATAAATTATTATTATTTATTATTGATATGGTTATAAATATCTTCTTCCCATTTGTGATATTTTTCTTTAATTATAGACATGCAAAATAAAAATTCATACTTTCAATTTAAATAAAAATGTCAAGCCTTTTCCTTTCTGGTTATTGCATGTGTCTTTTAAAACTTAATTTTAAAGATTTATTTTTAAGTTAAATGTGGGTGACTGGGTGTGGGTATATATAAGTATATGTATGTGTGTGTGTGTGTGTGTGTGTGTGTGTATGTCAGGTGCCTGACACATTGGATCTCCTAGAGCTGGAGTTTTATGGGTACTGGGAATCCTAGGGACTCGGCAAGAGCAGTGTGTATCCTAATCACTGGGCCAGCTCTCCAGCCCTGTTTCTTTGCTTTGTTTGTTTGTTTTGGTTTTTTTTGCACTTTGCTTTTTTGTTTTGTTTGAATTAATTAATTAGTTAATTAATTAATTTTGTTTTAATAAATCCTCTAACTTGACAACATCAATTCCTAGACCTAGGGCTTGAAGAGAGGGCTTCATGTTTTGTGTTAGGCAAGCCTTCTATTACTGAGCTGCGTCTCTAGCCTTCCAGGAAACTCTGGTGTAATGATTTTTTATTTCATAATTGTGTTTTAAATCCACCAGGAATTAGCTTCAGAGATTGGTGGAACCAGGATTTGGACAACTGGTTTCTGTCTCAGCAACATTTGTCTCAGCACTGGTTGTAGGTGATGCCTTCTTGCTGGTTTCAGTTTCTTTCACCTAGTTTGTGTCTGGCATATAATGGCCTCAGTGAATGAATAAAGCACTTATCTTGATGGTTTCAACATTTCTGTAGGTTCCTTATGGTTTTCATAAGATAGTCTAACTTACTAATTGATTTAAAAAACCTTATTACTGCATTCCTACTTACTTAAATACCTTTGATTTGTTAGTAAAGTACTGTTGAAACTAAATAAATATTTGTTTAAATTTCCTTTTATCTATTTTGAATTTTCTTTACAGTATTTTTATACTTATAAAACCTGTTTGATACATTTTGTTGAACTCCTGGTCTTGGACTGTGTTTCTTGGTTTTTGGTGTTTTTTTTTTTTTTTTTTTTTTTGAGACAGGGTTTCTCTATATAGCCCTGGCTGTCCTGGAACTCACTCTGTAGACTAGCCTAGCCTCGAACTCTCAAACTCAGAAATCCGCCTGCCTCTGCCTCCCAAGTGCTGGGACTAAAGGCATGCGCCACCACCGCCCAGCAGTATTTTTTTTTAATTTATACACAAATAATAACAGTAGCCAAAAGGTGATAGCAAACTCAGATGGCCATCAACAAGTGGAGAGAGAAACAGTTTGTGGTGTATGCATATAATGGGTTGAAGGTCAAACATAAAAAAAGATGACTTACGTGCTACAACATGTGTGAACCTTGAAAACATGCTATGAAATGAAAGAATTTAGAGCCAAGGGCACACACTTTGAATATGAATATTTTTATATGAAATAATCAGAACAACCATTTCTATAAAGACAGAAAATAAAATACTGGTTGCCAAGGAGTTGGCAGATGGGAGATAAGGGATTACTTAAGATGTGTACTGTATTCCAAGGAGGTGAAAAGCTTTGAAGGGTTGATAGCAAGCTGTACTGACTTTCACCATCAGTTACATACCTTAGCAGGATTAGTTGTATATTATGTAAATTTAACTTAAACTGTAAATAAATCTAGCTTTGAAGGGTTGATAGCAAGCTGTACTGACTTTCACCATCAGTTACATACCTTAGCAGGATTAGTTGTATATTATGTAAATTTAACTTAAACTGTAAATAAATCTAGCCTGATTAATTATTTAAAAATTGCATCACCTCCTAGTTTTCTTTATGGTTTTTAATTTTTGTGTGTGTATGTAGATGTCATGCCTGTGCATGTGCCAGAAGAGGATGTCAAGTTTCACTTTCTGCCTTATTCCCCTAAGACTAAACCTAAAAGCTCATTAAGCCTGAAGCTCACCATTGTAGCTAGTTGGCCAGTGAACTCCAGGGATTGACTTGTCTCTGTTCCCCAGCTTTGGGATTATAAGTCATGCCTGCCTTTTAAGTATTGAAACATTTCTTTCAGTGGCATTATCGTTTTTATAAATATTTTACAGACTTTGGTAAGTAATTATTAAAAGTTAAACTTGAAATTCAATAGAAACACATCTTCTACTGATAGGAATTGTTAAATGCAGTTTAGTTCATGTACTTGTGTGTGGGTGTTACAGGGTTCCATGTTCTTCCTTTACAATTAATATAGAACTTTTGGTTTGATGAAAGTACTGAAAGTGAAAGCCCTGTCAGTAAGTAGCTGGTGATGGAAGGGCATTGAAGTAGCAATGTCACTCAGTTCTTCCACATCATGTGCCAAAACGGATGCAGTAATTTAATATAAATTTTAATGATCCATCAGCTGACACCTCAGATTTTTCTTCAATATTTTTGAAAAAGGAAAAAGAACTGGAAGGCAGTTTCTTGGCATGAGAATGTGCTTGTTATTAGAGTCCCTACACCAGTATCTCTAGCTGGTGACATTTAGTGCCTCAGAGTTAACCTGACAGGGAGAAAAATAACTTATAAAAATATAAGTTCGGAGTACACAGGCAGAGTAATTTTTAAAATAATTATGTGTAAAAGATGAAAATCTTCTGATTCCCCCAAGATTGCCTTTGCCCAGGTACCATGTAAAAAATACTAGTGTACCCTCAGAGTTTTCCATAAAGTGTTCTTCCCTGCCAGGCTATAAACAGTTTGGAGTGCCTGTGTACTGTGATCGAATTGTTAGTTTAAAAAAAAAAATGAAAGAAGGAAAAGAGAAGGAAGAAAGAAACAAATGGCCCTAAAGATCTTTCTGCAGAATTAAAAAAAATCGTGACTAAACTCAATATAGAATTAATATAGAATTATTAAGAATGTGCAAAATTGACTAGCAATGTTTGCCTCTCTGATAATTCCTTATTTAAAATTTTCTCCAGGTTAATGAATGGTCACTGAAGATCAGAAAGGAAATGAGAGTTGTTGACAGGCAAATAAGAGGTAAATTACTATTTTATGTTTTCCATTCTATACTCTTAATGCTCTATTTCATTTTAGTACATAAAAGTAAACTCACCTCTACATTATGACATCATTTATTCCCATACTAATTATGTGTAGATGTTCTCATTATTTTGTTTTCTTATTCTATACTCAGAATAAAAAAGATAATGATTGACACAGACTATTGTGAAGAAGCAGAAGAAAGCTCCTTGTGCTTGTACATTAAATAAGTTGTGCATAAAAAATCAGTGCAATTCCATTATCTCTACTCTCTGCATACTTTAACATAACTTTAAATTGGGAACAATATATTTCTAAATAAAAGTTACTTTTTTTTTAGTACCATTTGAAATTAAAGTGAGTGACCAAGAAATGGTCATGCTTAAACTAAGTTTTTTTTCTAAGTTTTATTTATTTTTGACAACATCATACATATAAGCAATTGTCTTGATTATACCCAACCCCCATATCCCCCTCCCACTCCTCTCAGACAATTCATGTCATCGTCCTCCACTTCATATTCATATCTACACCCACTCCCCTATAACCCATGGAGTCCAGTCAGTGCTGTTTGTTGGAATGGTGACTGTTTTTGTTGGCTTGATCTGTGCAGGTCTACGCAGGCATCCATAGCTGTAGTGAGTTCTGTGTGCAATGGCTATGTCGTCCAGAAGACAGTATTTCACAGCAGTCTTCCACATGTGTATATTCTTTCTACCTCTTCTTCTGAGATGGTCCCTGAGCTTTGGATGGGATGTTGATTTAGCTGTCATTTAGGGCTGAACATTCAGTAGTCATTTGTTCTCAGCATTTTGACCAGTTTTGAGTTCCTAATTATAAACAAGGTATAGAATTCACTATCTATCACTAACCATGGTAGAGTATCACTAATCTATCAACATGACTGTTTAGCAAGTCATCAGTAGTTGGTTACCCTGTTGGGCCTAGACATCCTAAGCCATAGTCTTTGTCCAGGTATAAAGTACCAGATAGGAATTCCCTTCTATGGATCAGATGACAAATCCAACCGAAAAGCTATTGGCTACCTCAGTATCCTTTGTGCCATTATTAAACTAGTGAATATGTCTTCTCTGGCAGGTCAGTATTGTAGTGTGTAAGATTTGCTGCTGAATAATAATATTGATGGCTTCATTCCCACTCCACACTTCCCCTGCATAGCACTTTCCAGCACTGTGAAACTGGCCTGTAGAGAGGAAGTTTTCAGGTCAGTTCCAGTTTGATTCCTCTATGTCTCGTAGCCAGAATATGTCCTTCCTCAGCAGTAAAGTCTTACCATATAGTTCTGGTGGGCAGCCAAAAGATAATGACAATGGCCTGTTATTATAGTGCTTCTGGGGTCTCCTTGTTACCACAAGTAAGCCTTGGCACTGAGATTTTTATTTAATAATTCCATGTCTTCTGGGAGAAGTATTGTTGATCCATGCAGGTTAATTTGATTTACATTTCTTAGAATTAACTTTTAATTCTCTTATAAAGTAGTGAGTTTCCCTAAGGGTTTTTAGAACCTCAGTTTTGACTAATCACCTGCACTCTACTTCCCTGGTCTGTCCTATCCTTTCTTAAACCTTTAACCTCCAGTATTCTCTTGCCTCTACTATTATACTATAGGGGTATACTATTCTCTTCCTCCTTAAAGGAATTTTTTAAAAACATCTTTATGAATAGAAAAGATTGATACTAGAAAAGCGTCCCAGGATTACAGTATCACGACTTTAAAAAAGAATTAGAGATGAGAATTCTTTTCCCAGCTGTGTTAATTTTGGTCTTAACACTTCTACTTCAATTGCAAATGAAAGTTTGAATGCGTCATCTATGAAACAACTGCTTTTCACACTGGGCAGATGACTGAATACTGGCAAAAGAAACAGAAAGAGAATCCTCATAGTCTGTCTTTTTGCTAGAGATACTTTCTTGAATGTAGCACATGGGGAGGATTCCAGAAAGAACATGGTGGTCTTGTTGAATTGAAGATTTGGAGATCAGGGTAAGGGAGGCTAAAATTTGTGATACTGAGTAATAGAGAAGAGGAACATAACCAGGGAAAGAACTTCAGACATCTCCACAGGGTGTGAGTCTGTGGCTGAATACTTACTTAGAGTGGTATCTGCAGAGACTGACAGAATAATTAATGGAACAGAACAACTACCAGGAAGTTTTAAGCTGAACAGTTCCTAAAGCTAACAAAGGGATGGAAGATGGTTTAGTTTTGCAAACACAGTAAAGAGATTTTGTTAAAATCTGGGACATTCAGTACAGACTGGAGAAGGGCCACATTTAGTATTAAGGTAAGAATAAGGGCATATTTATGAGGAAAGCTTATGAACAGGTCTTGAAGTTGATCTACAAGTGACTTAGCTGCCAGTCAGAATAAAACTTAATGCTCTTTAAAGGACTACAAAATTATGACACCTAACTGTGAGTCATTCTCATGCCAAGTAAAAAGGCCACGCAAATTAAATGCATTGGCCGATAGAAATAAACAAAAACAAAAAACCAATTAAGCTAAAAGGGATAAGAAATATGAAGGATTTTTCTTAGCCCTATTTTTAATGATGGTTCTTAAATGCTTTAACCTCTCTTCTAGCCTACCACCCACCAGAGGTAGTGGAAAAGAAAGGTTATTAGGATATGGGGGAAGTGGACCTGTTTAGAAATTGTTCTTTAGAGCCAATCCCATCTGTGTTGTCTGGAAATCAGCAGTTCATTTCACAGGAATCATAAGTGGCAGATGATCCACTCACAAACACTTGACGAATATACCAACAGTCCAGTTTAGTAGTGTTGGAATAGCAAACATGAATCAGCAGCAATAGCACGACTTAGAGACAGCCAGGCCTCAGCTGAATTGGCACAAGTCAGCAGGAGGGACTAGGACCACCAGGGCTGTGTCTCTCAAGCGAAGACTCAAGATCAAGAAGAGCTGCAAAGCTAGCTATGCAAGCAAGCCAAGCTCTATTCACTGTCTGTTGGGTCCTATTTATACTCTCTCCAAATATGAGTCCTCCATGAGTCTTGCCTCACCATGTGTTGTGCCTCAGCACGTGAGTTTGTATCAGCTGACATCACTCTGCCTGTTGCCCCAAGTCCACTGAAGCAGCAAGAAGCAGCAGGAACCTCTTGCGAAGTTTTTTGGTGCATATCTCTATGGAGTCATAACAAATGGAGCTCAGCAACGCATGTAAGGCAGACCAGTACATGAGTGTCATTAGTGAAGAATTGTTCATCATGAGTCCTCTTAAATGCTTACTTTAGCAGATTATCCCTTCACCTGTATCTGCTTCAGTGAAACATCCTTTCACTTGTGTCCGCTTCAGGAAAATATTCCTTCATGTGTTTGCCCCAGCAAAACACCATCCAACACAACTGATTCTCCAAAGAAACCAGAAGTTTCCATTTCAGAAATATGTTAAATAATTTAAAACAAACAAAGTCATAAGCAAAATAGAGAAAAACTTTTTAAAAATAAAGCAAAACTTCACTAAATGGACACAACAATAGATTAGACAGTATAAAAAAAAAAGGCACAAACTATGCTACAAAAAAAGAAAAAGACCAACAGAGCTACTGTGACTTGTGGATGATGTTAAGTGGTCTGCTGTGTATAATTTGAGTATCAGAAGAGTTAAGAGATCAGATGAAATTATAACTGAGTATTTTCAATAAGTCCACAGAGCAAAAAGAATTATCCCAAAGTTGAATCAATTAGAGAAAACAACATTGAGGCACAACATGTTTAGTTTACTTCAGTAAGGACAGACAGCCTAAAAATAAGCACATTAGATTTAGGAAACAGTGGTAGAGCATCTGTTGCCTGAAGTGTGTGAGGGCCTGGGTTCAGTCTGCAACACTGTAAGTAAATAAATACAGAAAACAGTAAGAATGGTTAAAACTTAATTATCAGAAATTATGTAAGCCAGAATATATTTAATGTGGTAGAAGAAAAAGTTTTACACTAAATTTCTATATATAAGCTGGGTGGTGGTGGTGCATGCTTTTAATCCCAGCACTTGGGATGCAGAGGCAACTAGATCTCTGAATTCGAGGGCAGCTTGGTCTACAGAATGAGTTCTAGGACAGCCAGGGTTGCATAGAGAAACCCTGTCTTAGAAAAAAAAGAAAAAAAAAACATATCCAGAGAGAATACTGTTCAAAGGTTAAAATGAAGTTAAATATTTTTAAGCTAAAAGCTGAGCCTCTTGTCAGCATAAGAAATGTTAAAGAAACTGTAGCCTGGGGCCATAGAGACAGCTCAGAGACTAAGAGCACTTAATGAGAGGACCTTGGATTGGTTCTCAGCATCTACCCTGGGCAGTAACTCCAACTCCAGGTATCTGATGCCCTGTTCTTGCCTCCAAGGGTACCTGTACACATGTAGTACATAAACTCAGTAGGCTAATATGCATTTATGTAAATATAAAACAATCTTTAGCAATTATGGGCCAAAGGAAAATCAAAACTAGATACATACAAAGAATTTTGGATATAGCCGGGCAGTGGTGACGCACGCCTTTAATCCCAGCACTTAGGAGGCAGAGACAGGCGGATTTCTGAGTTCGAGGCCAGCCTGGTCTACAGAGTGAGTTCCAGGACAGCCAGGGCTACACAGAGAAACCATGTCTCAAAACACAAAAAAAACAACAAAAAAATTGGATATAATTAAATGCAAGTAAACAAGTAAATAACAGCTTTCATTATTTAAAAATGTTTATAAAATTTATTGTGGCATATAATATACAGGAATAAAATGTATGCTATTAGCACAAATAGTTCATTGATATAATATATAGCCCATATTGCAGTTGATTTTTAAAAAATTATTTATTTTTATTTTATGCACATTGGTGATTTGACTGCTTATATGTCTGTGTGTCAGATCTCCTGAAACAGGAGTTATAGGCAGTTGTGAGTTGCCATGTAGGTGCTGGAAATTAAACTCAGGTCTTCTGGAAGAGTGGCTAGTGCTCTTAATTGCAGAGCCATCTCTCCCTGTTGCAGCTGATTTTAATTATGTACATGCCCGGCATACATAGCCATGAGAATTTTTTTCTGAAAGTTCACTCAGAAGACAGTTTGCATTACTATTATTATACCCAAAACTAGTTCTGGACCCTGCCTTCAGTGTCCAGCTATATATGTCCTGGAATGTATTGGAATGGAAGCTGTTCTCAAAAGGGGAGTTATTAAAGGTTGCTAAGGAGATGAGACTTATTCCGTTGTTTGGAGCAGGGTGTTTATGCAGCTTGGTGCAGATAAGCGTCCTGGGTTGCTAGGTGTTTTGTTAGGAGAGAGATGTGTGCATAGCTCAAGCAAAATAGATGCCCAGCGTGCTAAGTTTTCCATGTGCTTGCTTGTCTGACTTCTGCCTCAGCCTCCAGTGCATTGGTATTATAGGTATGAGTCACAGTGTCTGTATTTAATTCCTTTTTAAATATAAATGAGCTAAACTACTTAATCAAAAGAAATAGTCAAAAGGCATTAAAGAGCACTATTGAACTATATGGTGTCTACAGCAAACTCAGTTTAAATCCAAAATCACATATAGATTGAGGATACAAAGTTAGAAAAAGATACTGCATCACAGATGAATGGCTGTAACTTTACATCATGGTAAACCAAACTCTTAAAACATTAAAAAAAATTCCTGAGAAACGAGCTTATTATATTAATAAAAGTTCTAATATAACCTAATATCTACCTGATCATATACATTTTCCATCTAACTAAATACTCTTAAAGTATAAAAGAGGAAAAGAATTGAAAGAAGTAGTAGGATTTCAATAATAGTAAGAGACTTTACTGTTCCAAATGGTTAAGTAAAGAAATGTATTAGAACAATGGAAGAAACCAGCTATATCTATTTAGACATATACAGAATTTCCAGCAACAGCAGAATATGCATTTTCTCAGGTGTGCATGGAACATCCTCCAAATAAGATTGCATGTTTGCCCCAATTCAAGTCTCAAGTCACAGTCAACCGTGATCATTGAATCAATGATCAAAAAAACCTTTCAATCAAAATATAATCTTCAGACCTAATGGTTTCACTGATGAATTTTACTGAACATTCATGGAAGTGCTAATACCAGTTTATGAACTTATAAAAATGTACTGAGGACTTTCTGACTCCATAAATCAGTATATCTTTAAGTCAAAGCCAAAGTTAGTTACAAGAAACCTGCCATCTGATAAACCTTGTAAAAGTATTTAATACAATACTAAGAAGTCAAATTTAACACTATCTTGAAATGATTCTACCTCCTGGCCATGTTAGACTTCCTGTTTTTCTCTGTATTTATTAACAGTCTCAGGAAACAGCAATGAAATGGTGCTTCTTGACCCATTTCAGGGTTTCAGGGCTGAGTCTGAAGTTGGGGAATGTAGGACTCCTTCACACACCCTTTCTGATTTTCAAAATATACAAAACAACTACACCTGGATTTTTCCAAGCGACTTTTTTGGGAATAAGTTAGCGCAAGTTGATTTAGAATTATGATCGTTCTTCCTCTGTCTCTTGGCTGCTGGGATTATAGGTGTGTACCACCATACTTAAACTCTGCAAATGATTTGAATTTTCCTCCAAGTCTTCCCCAGTGTTGTAGAATAGGGAATTGCCCCCAAATAGTGTCCAGTTTAGGAGTTGCTTTCTTTTTCCAAATATAAAAATATGTGGCTTTGTGGTACTTCCTCCTCCAAAATGAAGGTGGATCTCTTTAACTAACATTGATACAATCTTACAATCTAGGGATCTTGATCAGGTTCATTTTCTCTGCCAATTAAAAAATTAAAATGCAGAAAAAGAATCTGGTGTGTAGCAGGTAGCAGTGGAGAAGTTACAAACACCGCAGATAACAGCCGACACGGGTATGTAGTAGATATACAGAGAAAAAGACCTGCAAAGCTGAGGTAGGATTTGGGAAGCCAAAAAATCCAGTCTCTTCTCAGGGTTGGAGTTTTTGAAGTCTCTCAAGAGTTTTCTTCCTCTAATTTAGAGTTGGTCAGTTTGAAGAAAGGTTTATTTGGTTGATTGGCCCACATCTGTGTAACATGTCCTGATCCAGCCTTGAATTTATTCAGCCAGTGTATCATTAGAGGGCCCACTGGAGGGAGATGGGACCCTTGCAGGAGTTTTGGTTTCAGATCCTGAGAAGCCAGCTCTTCCTCCTGCAAAAGGGCTATGGTTATCATTTCCAAGGTCGTTGTGCACTCAAGTCTCTAATGTTCCCTATGTGCAACATTGATTAGTTTCTTGGTGATGTAGTCCCACTCTACTGTAGCTTCTGCTGACTGTTTAATTTTTCCCCTAAAAATAGTATATAAGATGCTGTACTTTTTTTTTTTTTTTTTTTTGATGCTGTACTTCTTAATAAACTTGCTTGGCCTAAGACATAGTTTTTGAAAGACCTGGTCACAAATTTTATTATCTTCCCTGTCTTCTATCTTTATCTTCTGATCTCCTAAACCTCCCCCTCAGGACCCTGTCATGGAAGAATGACCTGCTGGTCCAAATCACTGTTTAACTGTAGAATTATGAATAGTTAAGGTGGTAAATTGTGTTACATGTATTTTGCCACAGTTTCTAAAATCCAAAAGTTTTTACTGGTTATAAGGCATATAATAATACAGACATGTCTACACTCTTACTGATGCTGACATGATCAGCTTTCATGTGTTCAGGCTCTCTTTAAGCTGTAGATTTTTAGCAATTATGTTTAGAGAGTGTACTTTCTTACTTGTAAGAAAGCTGCATACTGATGCTCAGAATAAGCTTTGAGATGTATGTATAGTTCATTCTATAGCTCCTTAGTATAGATAGGTACCAAGCAGTGTTAGAGCAGGCTCTCAAAGGTTCTTAAAGTATAATAGGATTATACTTCTGCTTATTGTCAAACTATGTTAGTCTTGTTTCAGGAAGTACTAAATACCCATGTAGTAATATTTTTATTTTATCTATATCCTCTGATAATTTTCTACTTACAGATATATTTAGATTAAAAAAAAAACAGTTTGAGTACTACCAAGCCCTATTTGTCCTTTGTGGTGTGTGTTTATGTTTGTATATAGGTATGTGGGTGGCCAAAGAGACCATAAGAGGGTGTCATATTCCTTGGAGCTGGAGTTAAGCATTGTGAGCCCCCTGTTGTGGGTTGTGACTTCTGAACTCTGGTGTCAAGATTGGGCAGCAATATCTCTCCAGCCCCTACCCATGGCTTTTGATATTCTGTTCTAAATTTAGATATCCAAAGAGAAGAAGAGAAAGTAAAACGGTCTGTGAAAGATGCAGCCAAGAAGGGCCAAAAGGAAGTCTGTGTGGTTCTGGCCAAGGAAATGATCAGGTCAAGGAAGGCTGTGAGCAAGCTCTATGCATCCAAAGCACACATGAACTCTGTGCTCATGGGCATGAAGAATCAACTTGGTAAGGCCCAGGTACCTTACATCCCCCAATAATGCTGCTGCCATTGTTACTGTCAACACTGGTTTCCTTGCATAGGAAGAAGAGGCTCAAATCTGATTTTTTAACTTTTCACATTGTCCTAACTAGGGTACTGTACAAATGTAGAATATAATTGTTACTATTATTTCATTACTCACTTTTTTGCCAATGGTTTTGAAATAGTAAATCTACATAGAAGTCTTTGTTTAGACGTTAGAACATATTCAATTTATATGTTCAGCTGCAGTCCAGACTCGAATCGACCCTTGAATGCACTTCACAAAATGAACATCCACTTTTGAGTATTCTATTTAGATACTATGCCTTCTTGTAGCATTTGATTAAAATTCAGATTCTATTTGATCTTGGAAGTCCTGTGTACTCTGACTTCATGTCTTCCTTGTCTCCTTTCTTCTCTACATCCATTTGTATTGCTCTTTCTGTCCCTGGAACTGGATCAGCTTACGCTTCTCTTTACATTTGATGATCTCTCTGCAAGTACACAGTGCCCACAGCTCTTGAAATGCTCGGTCCTTGTCTTGCAGGTCTCAATTAAGATGTTAGGCACAGTGTAAAGCCTTTTCTAAAGCTTCTGTCAACATAACTCTATAACTCCCTCCCTCCTTCCCTCCCTCCCTCCCTCCCTCCCTCCCTCCCTCCCTCCCTCCCTCCCTCTCTCTCTCTTTCTCTCTCTTTCTTAATAGAGTTTCTCTGTGTAACAGCCCTGGCTGTCCCACAACTCACCTTGTAGACCAGTTTGGCCTGAAACTCAGAGACCTATCTGCCTCTGCCTCCCAAGTGCTGGGATCAAAGACTTGTGCTGCCAAGCCTGGCTTCTAAGTAATTGATTTCTAATGAAATTAATTTGTTCAGTTGGTTTAAAAAAAAAAACAGTGTTAGGAATTGAATATAGAGCCTTGTATTAGCTAGGCAAGTGATACACCACTGAGCTATAGCCCCAGTCTTGTTTGTTTGTTTGGAATCTCAATATGTAGCCCTAGTTGTCCTGGAATTCAGAAAGATCCATTTGCCTCTGCTTCCTGAATGCTGGAATTAAAGGCATGGACTACCATGCCCAGCATTGCTGTATTCTTAATGTATACATTGTGTCCTGCTAGTATACATTGTCTAACCTGTGGATCTATCTCTAGCTTAGAAAAGAGTGTCTGGCCGTGTAATGGGTGTAATGTGAAGACCATACCCATAAAGCAGGTTCAAATGCTAGTGACTGTTTACCTGTAGTATGTAGTTGTTTTCTGTATGTATTTTTAATATCAAATGTGGAGCAGAATCCTTGATTCATTAGTTCACTTTTTAGAGACTTTTATTATATGTTTTTTAAAATTTTATTTAGCTTTCCTTTCTGTATATGAGTGTTTTGCCTGCATGTATGTCTGTACAATATATGTGTGGAGTACCTGCAGAAGGGGACGTCATATCCAGTGGAAATGGAATCCTATATGACTGTTAGCTGCTATGTGGGTACTGAGAATCCCCTATCCTATCCTATTCTATCCCCTGTCCTGTCCTGTCCTGTCCTGTCCTGTCCTGTCCTGTGCTGGAACTGACTATGTAGACCAGGCTGGCCTTGAGCTCACAGAGACTCATCTGCCTCTGCATTCCAGTGCTAGGAACAAAGATGTGGACCACCACTCCTAGTAAGGCCAGCCATTTTCATTCTGGCAGATTTTACAGAGGAGTCAAAGAATATATTCTTTTTCTTGTGATTTTTCTTTGAGAATTAACAAAATTTTAAGTCATCTTTCATTATTGTTTATAAACTCGGCATATGTGTTTATGGGTCATGTTAAAATGATTTACTTTCATGAGATTTTAACTTGCTTATTTGCATTTTTGACATGGTACCAAATTTAATCATGGCAGTGTAATAACATGGAGCGAGCAAAGTCCCGGCCAAGCATGATGGTGCACACCTTTAATCTCTGCATTTAAGAGGCAGAGGCAGGTGGATGCCAATGAGTTGGAGGTGACCTGGTCTACATAGCTAGTTCCAGGACAGCCAGGGTTACATAGTAAGATCCTGTTTCAAAACATTAACAATTAAAAAGAAAAAAATGGGGCTGGAGAGATGGCTCAGTGGTTAAGAGCACTGACTGCACTTCCAGAGGTCCTGAGTTCAGATCCCAGCAACCACATGGTGGCTCACAACCATCTGTAATGAGATCTGATGCCCTCTTCTGGTGTGTCTGAAGACAGCTACAGTGTATTCATATATAATAAATAAATAAATCTTTAAAAAAAAGAAAAAAATGAAGTCGAACCTATTGTGTATTGCCAAGTAATTACCATTGAATGCAGAAGTTTTCAGTAGTCATAATAGAGAAACAATGCGGTCAGACATAGAAGACCTTGTGTAGACAGGCTCGCTAGTGTCTACCCACAGTGTCACCCTCACTTAGAGTAATAGTTTAAGTGAAGCATCGCATCACATACTATTTTTGACATTAATGTTTGTTTGACTTTGAACTTTTTGATGTTTCATTTGTTTTGCATTCATTTTATAATTGTTCATATTTGTAAACATCAGAAAAATTTACCCAGTTAGTAAAATGCAGATACCTAAAGCCAACACTGGAAAGACATTGATTAATAGTGGAACTGATAGCATTTTGTTTTTCTTCAGTGAGGAATTGAATCAATAAATTGTGGCATATTCAAGCTTGAGATGGCACTTGCCAGCAGGAGGATATGAGGCATGCCGTTTTCATAGGCAAGCAAGGTTGTTGGCTGTTAAGTATAGCGTGTGCTCTGAGGGTAAATGGAGCATGTATTTGCGCAAGAGTGTAAATAAGTATAACACATACCAGAAAAGACGCTCCAAGCTGAGGGCTTGGATTAAGGGAAGAGGAGTTTCACTTGCTCTAATAAGTACTTCTGTGAACTGTTTTCTCCTTAGTTCTTTATTATGGTAAAATGTAAGTCTGCAAAACTAGAGTAAATAGCCAGATAGATAACTATCTGCCATTAGCTTAAAGCTGCATTTCCTATCTGGTGTCCCTTGACGTGTGTCCTCACCTACTTCCTGTATTCCCTCTGGCAATCTAAGATACCATTGCTTCTGTTCTCCAGTGGGTTTCTAAGGGGAAGAGTGCTATTCCTGGACGGTTATTTCCATTTGGGAACTTGAACCTTTCAGTTCTTTTGTATGTTTTCTTTTTACTGTCTTTTCTTCTGAAAGCAAGTGATTTTAGTCATTTGTTGGATTTTTCAGACTAATGTTTTTATTTTCTTTCATAGTATTTGTTTTGTTTTATTGTTTTTTTTTTTAAGTCAGGGTTTCTATGTGTAACAGCCCTTGCCTGTCCTGGACCTCACTTTTTCAACTAGGCTGTCTTCAAACTCACAGAGATCCAACTGTCTCTACCTCCTTAAATTTTGATGCTGGGATTAAAGCCATAAACTACCACTGTCCAGCTTCTTTCATATTTTTTTATTTTGAAGATAATTATATTCAGATCCATGGTGGTGCATACCTTTAATCCCAGCACTCAAGAGGCAGAGACAGGAGGATATCTGAGAGTTTGAGTACAGTCAAGACTGCAGGGAGACATCCTCAAATGAGTGAATGAGTGAGTGAATGAATGCATGAATAGAAAAGAACTAGGTGAGGAGTGGGAGTCAGAGTGGGGAGAGATGGGTTAGGCTGTTTAAGTGTAGGCTTCATCAGTCACTACTCGGTCTTTTCATGCAGATGAGCTGAAAAGCAAAATCCAGACTTTCTTCCTTACTCTCTTCTTATATTCTTTCCTCTACTTTTCTTTTTTTAAAGAAAGATTGTATGTATGTATGTATGTACGTACTATATGCATGAATGTTTTACCTGCCTGCATATATATGTGTGTACCACAGTATGCCTGATGCCATGAGGTCCGAGGAGGGTACCTGATTCTCTGGAACTAGAGTTAAGGCAATTGTGAGCTGCCACGTAGGTGGTGGGGACCAAATCCAGGTTCTCTTCAAGAGCAGCAAGTGCTCTTACTGCTGAGCCATCCGTTCAGTCTTCTTTTCTTAATAACAAAAAGAAGTATTACATTTACTTTTTTATATATTTACTTGCTGTGCATGTGTTGTGGGAACATACATGAACAACACACATGTGAAGGTCAGAGGACAACTTTTGGGAGTCAATTCTCCTGTCATGTGGATCCTACGGAGGGAGTCATGTCATCAGTGTGTTGGTAGGCGCCTTTGCACATGGAGCCATCTTGCTGTCCCCCACCCTCCCTTTTTTTAATTGTGATTAAATTCTGAAAGGTATAAGCACAATTTTTTTAGGACTCAAATAGAAAGCAATACTTTGAATAAATTTAGTTAAAAAAACCAATAATCTTGATCAAATCAATATATGTTTATAATTGCAAATTGCTTGATACCTGTGGGCTGTAAAGGGGAAGTAGAGAATCAAGGAAGGATGTTTTCAGGCCCTGATGAAGTCTGAAACAGGATATGAGGACGAGTGTGTGCGTGCGTGCGTGCGTGCATATAGGAGGGGTGGGTGGTACTTACTCCAAACTGAGAGGACTGCTTGTATAAAGGCCCTGAGGTCAGAGAGAACAGTGTTTGCAACACTAAAGGAAGACCTGGGAGTTTGGGACTCTGAGCAGGGGGTGTAGAGGTGTCTGTAAAGGATGGGCAGTGAGGTGCAGATACTGTTTTTACAGCTGTTTCCTGACTGATTTTTAAAGACAAGCTCAAAGCGAAGCCTGTTGTAGTGACAGTCGAGATAACGGGCAGTGGAGTTGAGTGGAGATATTTGGGAGATGGAGGGAGGAATCTAAGTGGAAGGAGTAATTGCACAGAGACAACGGAAGTATTTCAGGCTGTGTTCAGAAGATAGTTTGACAAGTGCGCTAAGGAGAAAGTTGGAAAGTGGGGCTGGAAAGGAAGGTTGAAGCCAGAGTTCTCAGAGTTAGGTAAAGGATTTAACTCATACTGGGGTCTGGAGAACTAACTGGGCTATT